GATACAAACGACACGCTTCCTTTTCCCCCGCTTACAGAACAACATATTTTAAATTGTGTATTCTCTTCTTGGTATAAAATTTTCATGTTTATATCCAACAAGACCTTAGTTTCAATTATTTTAAAATAGTTTTATTTAATCCATTTTACAGAAATTAGTTTCCAAGTAAATTAACGTCGATGTGATTTAGATCAAACGTGTGAGCGATATTATTCGATATTACTTAACTTAATAGGGGCTAAGGTTGTAACGCGTTTCTGGTAAAAATGGCTATAACAAAAAAATATAATAGAATTGCAATTTAAAATATATAATTAAAAGTAAAGCTAAAGCTTCGCTAATAATAAATAAATCATAATCATTTATTCATATATTATTATTTATTTGATTGGTCAGCGATCACGTTTTTATTACCGAATATCACTGTGATTAATTTGATTGGTTAATGACATGTTTTGATCATCATGTGTGACAAAATCGAATATTGTGATATATCGAATGGAAACAAATCCGCCCATATGAAAATGTGAATTGCGTGAATTGCGCCTGTTGATTGGATGTATAGTTTAATGATTATCTATCTGTTTATATCATGTGCTAACAATCATGTGCTAACAATATGGTTTCTGATTGGTTGATTGCCGCAAAATTGAATTTTTTTTTACTAAATAATTAAAAAACAGAGATCTTTAATTTTATTATATATATTTTGTTTATTAAAAGAGATATTTTTAAATATCATCGTTATCACTACTATCGTCTTTGATCATCAATTCCCTTTGAAATCGTTCAGCAAATTCTACAACAGTTTGACCTTGCGAAAAGTCGAAAACTTCTCGCGGAAGTCTGTTAGTCGCAAATGGCTGACTACGTGACTGATTTGCTTGCGATTGTGAAGTTATTATACGAAATATTGGTGGGCCTGTGACTAAATGCAAAATTTTTAATAAATTGCTAAATCGGCTATTATTTTATCATATCGTGTTAAAATTTGTATTAACTATTTAAAATATACCTGTCAGTATATCCTCCCATGTAAATAAAAGACTATCGGTCATTGGTCCGAATGGGTTGAAATCAATTAACCAAACACGTTCTCTGTTACGTGTTACATATACATCAAAAACATCTAGTTATTAAATGATTTATTAATGCTTTATTAATGCTTAATAAATCAAAAAAAATATAAAAAACAGAATATTATTTCCTTGTATGCTTACAATCTCTGTTAAAAAACTTATTTCGGATATTCGTATTGAAAAATTGTATAATTTTCGTTTCTAAATCTTCTTGGACATCAACTAAAAAAGGATAATAATTGATATCACGCTGTGATATAGCTTTATACGATTAACAAATTTTTAATTAACAATTAATCAACGCTATAATTTATAATTGATCTAGGTATATAAGATATTATTTACCAACTAATTCTTCATTTCTTACAAAACAACGAAATTCCATTGATGGTGCTACATCATACCATTTTCTTAATACTAACTCGAATACATCGGGCCGTTGTCTTCTTAAAGATTCTTCTTCGTAACTACAATCTTCAAATGCATGATCGAGATCATGAGCTACAAAGTCGGATGATTTAAGTAAAAGAAATATGTCCGACGGTGTGTTGCATTTAAGTGTGTTCGTAGCAGATATCCATACAGCATCCTTGAAGGTTTAATATTAATAAATAGGTGTTAAAACAATTGATGATATATTTTGGAATTTTGAGATAATTACTCTGGGTGAACTCCAATTGAGTTTTGGAAAAACGGCACCGTCAAATTCCTCGATCGTCTGCCAGATCTGTTGTTCTAAGTCAGGAAAACTTGGTAATTGTTGCTAGTTTTAGAAGAAAAACAGAAGCACCAAGATTAAAAGAAGAATAATCCAGAGAATAAACATTTTGTAAAAGACAACTTACGCCTTCGTCCTCAATCAAATCTGTTCCAATTCCGGTATATTCTTCGTCGTCATCGCTGAATTCTATTATATTCCTTTCAAGATAACTAGAATACAAAAATAACATTTATTATTGGTTTAAATGGTAGTTAAAAAAGAGCTGAAATAAACTTACTTTTGTTCAGGAAGAAATATGCCGTCTGCATGTAAATACTCGATAAATTCTTCGGGTAAAGGTTTAATAATCTTGGATTTCAATGTGACACGTCGAAAAGTATTATACCAAGAAGAGAATACACAATTTAAAATATGTTGTTCTGTAAGCGGGGGAAAAGGAAGCGTGTCGTTTGTATC